GAAATATTAGAGAGCGCTCTTTTTCATTTGAAATCGCGACAAATAATATATAGAGTATAATAGTGGCCTATAACGATACCCTAATAATAATGAATAAATATAATAATAACTTTACAGGGTGTTCGTGGATTGATGGGACGTCCAGGCGCTCCTGGAAAGCCAGGTAATCCAGGAGAACGTGGGATTCAAGGCGCTGATGGGAAACCTGGCGAACAAGGTCCTTCTGGATCGCAAGGCTTGCCTGGTCCCTTAGGTTTCCCAGGGGAAAAAGGATATCCTGTACTAAACGCATTAATTTTCTTTTATTTATTACCAAGCTGTACAGATCTGCCTCTTTATTGAAAATGTACTTATCGAAAGGGCGAAGCTGGCAAAGCTGGAGAGCCAGGAAACCCTGGACCACCTGGTCCCAGAGGTGACACAGGCAAGGAAGGAGCGCCAGGACCTCAAGGCTCGCCTGGACCATCAGGAGCAGACGGTGAACGGGGTCCCCCAGGCGCTCCTGGTCCCAGAGGCTTTCAGGTATACTGGTCGCATGCGTTGCAGAAGAAATGTTGCTTCGTAAATGTAACAAACAACCACGTCACACTGTCGTTAAATAATTTGATATGATTAGGGGTTTCCAGGTGGAATTGGCAGCCCAGGCACTCCAGGAAAAGATGGAGAACCAGGCATTCAAGGAGCACCTGGTGTCTCTGGAATGCCTGGGAATAGAGGAGAACGAGGATTCCCTGGTGAAAGAGGACAGGCAGGGCTGCCAGGAGTAGCAGGACCAAAAGGAGATCGAGGAACGCAAGGATTGGATGGACCTCCTGTAAGATTAATTTTATTATTAACTCTTTGACTGCGGGACCATTTTTACTGGACATTCAAATGGACATTCTTGCGTAGAGGTTAATTTTTAAACAAATACATATCTTCTCTTAGAGAACAATGACACGAATCTTTTACGATTTATTCATAGGACGTTTAGTTTCCACATGAAACATTGAAACAAGTTTCGTTGAACTGTAGGGATTGCAAGGACCTAAAGGAGACAGGGGTCTCCAAGGTCCTCCTGGATTGGTAGGACTGCCAGGAATTCGAGGTGCTTCCGGTGAAGCTGGTCCTAAAGGAGAGCGAGGATCTGCTGGGCCAGTTGGGCCTGAAGGACCTTCAGGTTGGGTGTTGAAACAAAATTAGTTTATTTATTATGCTGAAATATCAAACATTTTGGACCTTTTTGTTGGTATGAAATAGAATCTTACGAAATGAAAGTGTCAAGAGCATCGATGTTGATTTTGTTCAATATGTAGAAACCAATGAGAGGTTGAAATATTTCTTTCAGGACGAATCGGAGAGCGTGGACCACAAGGTCAGGTTGGTCCACCTGGTCCCCCAGGTGAGCCAGCAGAACGAGGAGATCCTGGCTCCCCGGGTCCTCCAGGAGAGACTGGAGCTTCTGGTAGTCCTGGAGATAGAGGGCCTCAAGGCTTGCAAGGCTCACAAGGCTTCCCAGGACCACAAGGACTCGTTGGCCTGCCAGGGTTGAAGGGAGATCGTGGATATCCTGGTTCGAAAGGGGATCAAGGAAGTCCCGGTCCTTCGGGTAACATAAATATAATATACAAAAGAAAAGAAAGAATCATAGGATTACTGAACATGGTATATTTTTAAAATGCAGGTAGTCCTGGGGAAACTGGACTGCAAGGATTAACTGGACTGACTGGAGCCAAGGGAGTAAGGGGTGAACCTGGACCTAGGGGCGAGACTGGAATTATGGGACCTCCTGGGGTACCAGGAATAGCTGGAGTAGCAGTAAGCTTCTATTTGTAGACAGTCAATAACGAATACTACTCGCATACACGGTACACGTGATAGAATTTGAAAATGTACAATTTAATTAGGGGCCAGCAGGTCCGACAGGACCTCCAGGAGCCCAGGGATTGCCAGGTATCAAGGGCAATCTTGGAGAAACAGGACGACCTGGAAGTCCTGGACCTAGTGGAGCCCCAGGTCTGCCTGGAATCGACGGAGATAAAGGTGACAGTGGTTCCCAAGGACAACCAGGTCTACCTGGTCCCATAGGACCCCAAGGTGCACCTGGCGAGAGAGGCTTGCCAGGTTTGCCAGGTCCATCTGGACCTGTAGGAGCTAGAGGAATGCGTGGGGCACCTGTAAGTTCATGGCGTGTGTTCATTTTCTAGTTTCTTTTTATATTCATTGAAAATAATGTGGCAGGGTGAGAGTGGAGTACCTGGGAAACCAGGACCAGAAGGCCCCACGGGATCCCCTGGATTAGTGGGACCAGTTGGACCAGCGGGATCTCCTGGCGAAATAGGACCAGAGGGACCAATTGGCAAACCAGGACCTCCTGGAATCTCTGGCCGACCTGGAGATAAAGGACCTCCTGGAACGGTTGGACAACCAGGATCGACTGGTCCACCGGGTTTACCAGTAAGCTGTTGATATATTCGACGCATGTTTCAACTAGAGCTGTGAGTAATTTTGATTTTCTAATCAGGGATCACCTGGTCAAGCAGGAGCTCCGGGACCTGTTGGAGAAAGAGGACTAAAAGGCGAAACAGGACCGCAAGGTGTAGAAGGACAACAAGTTAGTTTTGTGCAGATTCCTGGTAACTCTTTGATCAACGAAATATTATCTTCTCATAGAGAACGATAAGACGAAACTTTTTTCTATTTACAGTTTGTTCGTACGACGTTTAGTTTCAACAGTAAACATTCATAAATATGCATATACTTCTGCCCTAAGGGTCCCAGAGGAAAACCAGGACCTATTGGACTGGAAGGACCCAAAGGTGACCGTGGAGAGGAAGGACAGAAAGGTATCAAAGGACATCGAGGGTTTACTGGACTCCAAGGCCTTCCTGGACCTGTTGGTCTGCCAGGAGAGAAAGGAATGCCTGGATTTCCTGGAATTCCGGGAAAAGATGGAGAACCTGGTCCTAGAGGACCATCTGGAAAAGATGGGAGCCCAGGACCGATTGGGCTAACCGGCAATCCAGGACCAAAAGGTCCTCCAGGCGATGAAGGTCACCATGGACCTCCGGGACCTCCCGGTTCTCCAGGTCCTCCAGGTCCACCTGGTGAGCTTGGATTGGGATACGATGCTGCCTCTCTAGCTGCTTTCTTAGGTGCATATTTATATTTTTAGTAACAACACGACACAACATTACTGCGTAATTAACACTGTAATCATTCTAATTATTCTCGACTACCATAAGGTTCATTCTTGTTATTCGCTTAGGGCAAGGTCAAAGTAAAGGCCCCGATCCTCTTATTGGCGACGAACCTCCCAGAATATTTAGTCAAGAGATGACGGAGGAAGAGAGACGAGAAGTAATTTCGAAAGCGTACAAGCAGCTGAAATCTTCGTTCCAGAAATTCATAAAGCCAGATGGGGAAAAACAATCGCCAGCCAAGACTTGTCGCGATCTTTTCGTGGCTTATCCAGACAAAGTTTCCGGTTAGTGTACATATAGAAAGCTTCATCTATTATTGTAGAATTGTTTGTGAAAATATTGTTTCCGTAGGAGAATACTGGGTGGATCCAAACGAAGGTGATCCCAGAGACGCGATTCTAGTTTACTGCGAGGCCAAGACCCATGCAACATGTTTATTAGCAAACCCGATGCGTTCTCCAGAAATTACATACATTACCGATCAACAGGAAACTTGGCTCAGCGAAATAGAGGATGGAATGAAGGTCTGTTTAATACCTTCTCCACCAATACTTTCTCCTACGTTCACGTAAACTTATTTTCTGTTTTCTTTTAGATAACTTATAAAGCAGACAGTAATCAGATTAGTTTTCTACAATTGTCATCAAAATATTCTTATCAAAACGTAACGTACCACTGTAAAAAGAGCGTCGCTTATTTCGATTCCGAACGAAAGACGTACAGGAAAGGTATGAAACTGTTGGCATGGAATGACGCGGAATTGACTCCGCGTGGAAATCAACGTCTCAGATACGAAATGATAATGGATGACTGCAAGGTATGTAATTCGATTACAACATGATTATTTTACATTATAACGTGATAAGATTTTTAAACCTGTTACGATATATATACACGTATATATATATATATATTTTTTTTTTTCTTCTATAGTCGCGTATGGAAGAGTGGGGCAAGACGATAATTTCATACAAAACAGATAAACCTGTAAGGTTGCCTATAATAGACGTCGCTTTGCGCGACATTGGAAAGTCTGAGCAAAGTTTTTATATCGAAATAGGCGCCGTTTGTTACGAATAAAGAGTATAATTTTGCGAATATACTTCTTAATTTAATACATACACACGCGGAACGATCGAAACCGTTGCAAGTAAGTGAAAATCATATAAAAATTAAGTAAATTGTATACATATCACAATGTAAATGAGAAAGTCTTCCAATACTTTTTATATTCAACGTATTTCTATGTAAAATATATGATTTTATGTAGTGTATATATATCTACAAACATTCTTAATTATTGTAATGTTAATATATATGTTCTAGAAATTTAATTAATTCGTAAGAATGAGAAAAGGAATAATATTGTTTATGCATAATTTTAATAAATTTGAATTTATACATTTTCCCTCCCTCCGTGGCGAAATGCTCAAGTTTGTTGAGGAGATGGTTGCCACTATTGCCGCTAGATAGCGACACTTTGTAAAGGATTAAAAAATTATTGCCAAATTAAATAAATATTGACGCAAATAATTAATTTGACGTATTAATTAATATATTATAGTGTTGTGAAGCTACGAATCGTATTTATGATTCATTCATTACAAATAAAAATAATTTATTAAAAGGCGGCGGTGACAGTTGAAACTATCTCCGCTACAAGCTTGGGCGTTTTGCCGCCGATGACGCCACTAGTATCAAGTCTATTTTTAATATACATTTCGTATATAAATTGATTACTACTTTTTTCGTATAAAATACACTTAATTTTAATAGAGGTTTACTCATTTTCAGTCCAAAAAAATCCTAGACAAAAAATAGATGAATATAACCATGTTTATTGACCTTTCAATGTAATATACTAAATATACAAAACGTCAATTTTTACTTAAATCAGTACTTAAATTTTAAGAAGTAGTTTCAGATATGGACTCTCCTGTTGGTGTCCCGGATATTTCTTCTTATATTTTAAACCAGTTACTATAGTGGAGCTCTTTGGGAATGCTGTCTTTCCTCCAAACATAGTGTCCGTATCTAAAACAACATTATTAGCAAAGCATAGATTCAAACATAAAAGAAAACCAACAAAATACGCAACACTAAAGCCAACTCACCAGGATGGAACCGGTGATATTCATAATTAATGTGTAAATTCTTTGGTAACTCCATTGTTTGCATCGCATCCAGTGGGTTACAGTTACCTACCGGTGTTTGGTAATATTTTTTCAAATTACCTGGAGCATAAAGTGTATCGGTGACCAAAGATCAATTTACTGCCAATAATATAGAAAAAAGTTTACAAACAGCTAGTACAAAATGCTCACCAATTGTTTCGATGGAAAATAGTACAGAGTTTGGTATGGAATGTTGAAACTCCTGTTCGCATGCCAAGAAAAGGTTGAAACGCTGCAGGGGGTCCTCAATTTTCGTGTCGCTGTCCGTTGTAATTGTTTGATCCCTGCAAATCTGATCTATTTGATCGGACACATTCGCAGGTGGATTATACGCTTTCTGATATCTGAGAAATCTGAAACAGGATTGTACATTGCATTTTTCTTTAGTTCAGATGTATTATCGATACATTTAGAGATTAAGTTAATTTTTACGAACGAGTGTGCAATTTTATTACTCGTGAAATTTCAATTTTTTTTGCTTGAACTCTACAAATCGTAAAAATCAAAAATTTATTCGAACGAAACGCTAGATGTCGTAATTTTGTCTTAGAAATAATTATTCATGTGGCGTAGAAATTTCTCGATCGATTTTCGATATTGTTTATGCTGGAGTTGAGAAAGGTTAAGGAAATTATTTTATTTGCATCCCTGTTCTACGAGTAATTTAACACATGGTTATTCTTTGAATATTACAACAAAAAATATTCATTTTAAAGAGTTTTTCATAAAGCAATCGTTACTTGTGCCAACGTCAATGAAAAGCAATGTAATTTATTTTTTGGTCAAACCGCAAACGCGGATCGATTAATTGTTTAACCATTATTCTACAAAATAAGAGGAGTTAGAAAAACGCAAGTTTTTACGAAAAGAAAGAAAATGTAACGATTTTCGAAATCTTGAACGTTGAGTCTCAATTTTGGAATTGGCATCAATTATTGTATGTATAATGAATTCAAGTGGCCGAGGAGTAATTCATTTTTAATTTTCGATTTTTGTAGTATTTTTAGTCGTATCATTTAGAGAAGGCTGCATTTAATAGCAAGAGTGGTATAAAATAGTTTTGAAGCTTTTCTCTGAAAGATACATAGGATTGGGACTTTCTGTGCTACTAGTAGTTTTTCTGAAAACCATTCTCGCAGATGGTCATTGATTTCACGCGAAAATCAATATCATCTTTGGATTAACTCGCGCCAAACTTTTCGTATGGTGCATGAAATTTCACTGGACGAAAGAGAGGCTTCCTGTGGAAGAGGAGCGAAGGGAAAGAGAAGGGACAAGATCGATGTCCAACGACCGTACAGTGCTGCCCCCAGTTGTATTTTCTCAGGAACAGTTATGGCTAATATTGGCCAGGAACGAAATCGAGAAAGTAAAAACCCCGGCACTACAAAAGCACCTGATATCTTATCAAAAATGTTCTCCATAATAGAACTTGCAGTAGCTACTTGTTTGAATCTAAGAATTTAATTTGTCTCACATTGTAACGCGTTGAAGAGAAAATGCACGAATGATCATTTTTTCGACTTGATCACGATCAACACGAAAGTGTAGCGGTACAAAAGGGTACAGCCGTTACGTCACACGTGAAGGTGGAATCCAATTCAGTACACAAAATTACAGATACAAATCTGAATGTACTCGATACTTGAGTACCATTTGGAATTTGCTAGTTGAAAATTGATATTTCGTACACTTGTACAGTAGTTGATCCAAGTAATATCAAAATGGAACATGACGTTACATTTGAAAATAAAATGTATCGAGTTGCTTGGACCAACATGAATTTGAATGATCTATGCAATGCGAATAAAGATATCGAATCTTTGACGCGAATGTCATTAGTTTATTACTCGAGTAATTATTAAAAATTACAGTCTCTAAATGGTGTTAAAATCCCTTCTCCAGCTTTCAAATAAAAAAATCGAGAAATTAGATGTACATATTTCAACGTAAGTCAAGGATTGGTATCAATTTTGGATGATATTTTATTCACACCATTTTACATTAAAATCTTACGATCGTTTGTGAACATATTTCATTTTCTCTCGAGAAGGGTCAAAATTCTATGATCGAAACACCGAGATTATTTTCCAACAAAATTTAGTCTCGAAACACAGTATCGTTCCTCGGAACCATTTTCTCTTTCTAGATCGATTTATTTCCAATTAACAATCATAAATGAAATTTAAAATAGTTAAGTAATAAAATATACGTCCATTACCCACTTTCGATTCCATTTTGACGTCACGTATCTTCACGTTCGAAAATTCGATCGTATTCAATGTTTATAAATGATAGTGTTATTTTTCAAGCGATATCCAGTAAACATAGTCGAACTACTCCTGTCAACTTTCGATACTGCAATATTCTCGATCGACTCTTAAATCCCACGTATCAAACGAAAAATGAGTTAGAGTCGTAGGTGAGAAACGAGGGGCGCCGCAGGTGCGCGCATCAGCCCTGGCAAGCTGTCAACTCTGCTCGTCCATTGGCTGTGTCGCGCGGGAGAGGTGGCAAACGGCAATATGGCCGCAGTGTGTCCTCTGCCAGTTAACGAGCGGCGAGACGTAACGCGAATATTTGGCCAGTATTCGTCCACAAAGTAAGCAAATTACTTACCCTTTGGCAGCGAGAGACTGGTTTTCGATCTGAAAGGTCTTTCTCGGTTGCTTGATCTTGAACTTGCTCTTGGATCGCGTCACGTCGCGTCGCAGGCTCGTCTGTAAAATGACGGCGGTCTCGTTAGCGAGCGTTCGTTGGAAATTAAACAATCTCACGGCCGTGATGGAGTGGTGCGCGATGGTGACGATCGAAAAGTGTACGTAAAGTGTTTTCATACTAACCGTGTTGACGGCGAGAAGCGAGGATGTACATTTCGCGAGATTCGCGAGTAAACCATGCCTGATGAGCGCCGCCATCTTCTCCCTCGACGTTGAAGTTGAAGCTAACTAGGCGTGCGAGCGGTAGGGGGCGCCTCGGGCGGCTGCGCTTGTTGTTTCCCATCGTCCGCCATTTTACGGTCGCCATTGAGAAGTGAAAACCCTCCTAAATGTTCTCGAATAATAGCGGCCTCGCCGTGTGATTTTCGGGGCTGAGAGAGGCGCGTCGCCGCGAGAAGTGTTGCTAATGAGTGTACGGCTTACGATGGAGAAACCATGACGCATCCGTCGCATCAAACGAACGGCGCTAGCCTGGAGGACTGCCACACAAATTTCTTCGCACTGGTGAGTGATCGAGTGAGCCCACTCTTACCAAGAGTCGGGGACCCCGTACCTTGTCTGTTTGCTGATTCTAGCAAAGATGCTCTCGAGCTGTGTCGGACGGGATACGAGTCGTTGGTTAGTTAGTTAAGGGTTGCTTTTAACCGACCGAGCACAAGTCGCCCGGGTTAACCTATATATCGGACAATTCCCGTGGGCAGTGCTCGATCGTTCGTTGTCGACGTCGGTGTTGTGTATCGCGGCACTCCCCTCCCCACCCCTCCCCACTCGAATATATGTGTATATACAGGTATATATACGCGTACGCGTGCATCAACCGTATACAATGCATATAAATTTTTATATCTATAGATTTCTTAGGTGCATGTACGTATATAATACGCGAATACATATGTGGTTTGTGAATAGGTGCACTGACGTGTGTGCGCGCGCGCGCGTCAGTGAGATTTGAAGTTTGTTATGCGACCCAATGTCACGCCTGATTCACGTCGGCCCTGAGTTTTCCGCGCGTGAGAGAATTAAGGAGGTTGCTGCAGGGAGAACCGGTAACAGATCCTCTGATCGCGAATATATAGTTCGATTACGAATGCGCAAGGTGCACCTTGTCCATTTGCAACGTTGCGATCGAGAATACGGCTGGAGGCGCGACGTTTTCATCTACTAACGAGATCGCGCCTCGTAACATTCCTTTCGCCTTTCGACCAAGCCAGAAAACTGTGTCAGACATTGTTTTCACCGTTCGAAAGTCCTTGTCTGTCCCGGTCCGTCCAGGTCCGTCGAGCCTAGGAACACCTTTTCGTCGAACGCGACGTGCCCGCGATATATGTATACACGACAAACCACCGATCGAGACACTCTTAAGGACGTTTTTACCTGTATGCAGGACCTTTCGAAAATATAGACGACCCCTCAGGAGCGTAGACGTAGCTCTGGAACGTGGCTCCGTTTCGAGGATGAAGACACAATTTCGCGAACCTTTACGAGGATTTTCCTGTCGAATCGATTCCTGAATTTTTAAACAATGGATCAAGTGTGATCGGAGGTTGTATCTAAATATTTCTTTGCCTTTACACGCTCCAATATTTCTGTTACTTTACACGTTTTTACCTGTATACAGGACGTTACGAAAATAAAAACGACCCGTCTGGAGCGTAGCTGTGGCTCCATTTCGAGGACCAAGAGAGTTCCGTGAACGTTGACTCCGATTTTCCTGTCGTGTCGATTTCTCAGTTTTTTCAAGAATGCCTGAAATTCACGTGCGATCGGACGATGTCTCTGAATAGCTCTTTAACTTTACGCGTTCGAATAACAAATGAACGAGTCTGCGTGAAACTGGAAGCTCATAAATAATTAAGAGTCTCATCTTCATTTTCAATAGTTTTATTACTTTTTATACTACCGTACTATTAGTCACATTAATAGTTTCATCAATCAAAACTATCTGATAAGCTTTTAAACAATTTTAAGTAACATTTAGAATCTACCTTAGAACTCTTTTGGTTTTATCAAAACTTATCGGAACTTAGCTGCAATCGAATAGCAGCTCACCCTCATACGGTGCACATACCACAGATTCTCGCACTTTAAACTGTTTAAAAAAGTATCCATTAGTTCCAATTGATACAATTATTGAAAATGAAGTCAAAACTTGCTTTGGAATGACAGAAATCCACACGGTTGCGTAGCCTTCTACAGTTCATGCGAGATTCCATAGCTATTCTCTTTGAAGAATGCAACATAGGAAATCTGTTATCCGCATTGACAATGACATTGGAACATTTACAAACTCAGAGTTAAAGCGTAGCTTGTGTCTCTTATATAATCAAACAATATGACCTTATATAATGACACTAATGGGGTATCGAGTCAGTTTAGAATCAATTAGGTGTAGAAAAGAATTCTGGGCCTTCTCAAACTAAAATTACCCATGACGTCTCTTCTCTGCACATTCCAAGAGAGCCTGTGCAGTTGCAGCATACTTTTCGTTGCAATTTTATTTAATATCCTGCAAAGGTAGCTTGTTACAGAGACATTCAGAGTTAGGATAGTCGAAAATTGGGTGGATTGTGTGGAAAAAGAGCGGCGTTCCGAGGTCAGCGTGAAGCAAAAGTGAGCTAAAACCGAGCAGTGTGTAAACTCTCTTGTAGTCTTAACACGTCACGTCCTCGCGGTGCAAGGCTTTCACCTAGGCTGGTCAAGACCCTCCTGCCCCTCTCTTGGCTTCTTCTGTTTCCTTCCACAAGAGCACCAGTTTCAGCATAATCTAGCCGAGTGACTTCGTCGACGAAGAAGCCGCGTGCTTCGCGTACCTTGGGGGAATCGCCAGAACAGATTGTCGTCACGCGAACGTACCCGTCATTTCTCTCGTAATTCGGCTACTGCCGTCTTTTCCCACGCGTTCTTGTTTCGATTATTGTAAAATACCTAAACAGAAATGACCGCTGCTCTGTCTATGTCCGTGTTACGTCTTACGAACCGTAAATTGAAGAAACTTATCGACCCGCGTACATCCGAGAGTTCATAGGCCTCCGTGACTTTCATCGAATGCAGTGAGTCATGGAATTAATGTCACAGGGACAGATTTGATAATGTGCAAAATGATAGGACGGTTGTAGGATTGTTTGGGTGGTGAATAGATGGTTGGGATACTTGAGGAATTAAAGATAGCTTGAATTAGGATATTTGGTTTACATAAATGTAATTAAATTTAATGGTTGAAAGGGAATATTTGTTTTGCATAAACATGAACGTAAAGATTGATTCTAATAGAATGTTGAATCAAATGAAGTGTAAATACGGGTTTCGATAGAATTAAATTAAGTTACATGTAATAACTGCGAAGGTAGCGTGCTGTAATGTTCGGATAAGTGCTTTTCGCCTCGAATGCTGGAGGAATCTTTTTAGTTTGCTCCCGCGTGAGTGACCCTTCGCCACACGCGGTCGACAACCCGTGAAAACAAAACTAGCTTGGTCTCATTGTATCCCAGTGTCGTCGTCCTCTTCGAGCTGTGAGTTGGATTAATTCTGATAAGCTCTTTAACAATCGTTATCTTTACACGTTAAACTATCTGTCCCAATAATTTCATTTAGGCAGCGCTATATTGCATTTAATTAATGGTTGGAAGGGAACGCACGCTCGCAAGGTACAAATGTGGAATATAACGCGTAGCTGTGGTCGTGTAAAGAGAAATCGCGGGAAAGACTATGATTGCTAAATTGCTAATAGAGTATGCTATCGTTAAACAAAACAATAGGGAAGGGAAAGGTTGGGTGGATGTAAGCGGGAATAAAACGGGCTTTTATCTCGATTCTGATATTGAATATGGAATAAGGGTTAGCATTGACCCACTCTTAAGGAGGATAAGTTAAAATGTTGGAAGATTTATTGTTTACTTTCTCGTTGGATAAATTGTAATAGATAGTCTTTGGCGTTGTTTGTCAATGATGTATCGATTAAAACTGATACGTCATCGAGGCGTCGAACATTCAAAAAGTAACTGTTTGTTTTTGTAAACTGAACTTGTTGACGTTTCTTATATATGTATACCAAGCTCGTAGTGTCATTGAGCCTTCAACGAAACGATTACGTTGGTCAGGGTCTCTCAACCTTTCATCGGGGCCCCTTGAATTTCACGAAATTTATTATTTATTTTTCATTCATAGCGCATGCCAATTATGTTTCTCATTTAATAAATAGAATAATGTATAAGAATTCGTTAAGAAAGGGACGAGTCAATGGGTAAAGTAGAAAATTCCTTGGGAGTCCAGAGGAGACGTAGTACAGTCGATAAAATCTTTTGTTTATGAAAACTATGAGTAAATATAAAATTAATTAGTTTGGAAATTGAAAATAGTTTTTGAAAAGCGATACAAAGTAAACTGTTACGTATTCTACACTCATGGTACCTACTATGTGGATAAGATTACCAAAGAAAACTGTGATATGGAAATGCCTTCGAAGAATCTGTTTTATCTACGAAGACTCTGATTTTTTCAAATTACTATCAATTATTTGATAATCACGAATTTCTCTTTGTACGATCTATGTTACAATTTCTATTTAGTATTCCATTACTATTCAGCTTGCTGTGGTACGTACTTGAATCGAAGCAATTCAAAAATTCAACGTTCAAACTAATTAATTGTAATTATTCAGATACTGGTCTGACGCGTTGTGTATATACTTGTAGAAGGAAGTGGTTTAAGGAGTGAAGGGAAAATGGGAGAAAGATCGAAGAAATGTGTGTGCGAGGGAAGGAATAGGAATAGTTGTTGCGTATGGTAAAACGAAACGAGGTATCCGCAAGTTGAATCCACGCGGGCGGCCTTGCACGTCGCCTTGCTTGTATTGATCAGGAAGCTTGACAGTCTCGTAGCGTTTACGATGGGCGCCTTCGTTCACCGATTACATCTTTCGTTACGTCGACATGATAGGCGCCATCGCATCCTCACTTCCGAAATCGATTCTCTTTTACCACTCGACATTGTCTTCTGCGATACTTTCTGCATCCTCGATCGAAACCATTTATTTCGACATTCTGATTTATTCGTGTATGATATTGCTACCCGATATAAACAAATTGTGTTTTATTATTGGGTATCGTTAACGCATTTATATTCTAGGTTAGGAATTAATATTCTTTCGCATGGGAATTTAAAATATCGAAACAAAGTCAGGAATAAATATTTACTCGTTACTCGTGTTTAATATTACACTAAAGTCCATA